CCTTAGCAGCAGCAACTTGCCTCCTGGCAGCAGCCTCTCTTCTAAGCCTAGCCTAGTCTCCAGGCCCTAATACTTGGAAAACGGAAGGTAAGCTTCAAACATCTCTTTTGGTCAACTGTCTATCAGCCTTCCCTCCCTCGTTAGCCTCACCGCCCATGCAGACAGTAACTTCTACTTACAATAGAATAGCCTGTTCCTTGTTCTACCGCGGTTTCCACCATCTTCATGATCGTTGGGTGAGGGGATTGGATGATTTGTGCGTTCGACCACTGGTGCCATAGTTCTGCAAGTGGATGTAGGATTGATGTGTGGTGAGGGGAGCTGGTGTGGAGGTGCTGTGGGAGGTCACGTTTCCGTGGGCGTCTCAGACCTCTCTCCTGCGTTCAGTTGATTCTTGGATTCCTACGGTAATTTTTGAGCTTGCGTGCGCTGGTCACAAACCATGAAAAGTTCTCGAAGAACTGGCCAATAACAGGGAAAGAGCCAAAGGGCAAAAACTGTCAAATTAAAAAACAATAGCAGCTGTCATATTAAAAGACAATTGCCAAAGTCGAGGCATCATACAGAAGATGGACTAAAACTTTGTCAGTGATGCATAAGCACTTGTACTTGCAACTACAAGTGGTGCAGCTTACCAAAACCAATCAACAAGAAGGACAGGGGAGCTGGAACTAGGACAAGATAAGAAGCAGTCAACTGCACACCAATCAGCATATTTTCCCTGTGTGCAGAGGTTGAGCCTCATAGGGACATAGTCCTGACATGCCAAAGCACTATCTACAGTGCCATCTCTGGGCTACCATGTCATCTGCACATGGTCCAGCATGCAGCTACTTGCTCAGCTGAAGCCAAGCCCCTTCTCCTGACTCCAGGATGCTTTCTCTCCCTCCCATCCCCCTCCGCTCCCATCATCATGGTTGTTGTCAATTCTGCCATCACGGCAGGCATGAGAATGATTTCAGCAGAGGGGCAGATGCAAGGATGACTTTGGCAGCGTGCAGTCAATTCTGCCAGCACTCTTCCACAGGAATGTGGCCCATCCCTATGTGCACATATTTGTAGCCCTTCTACCCCTGAACTCACTTTTTGGCTGTATCATTGCCATCAGCGCAAACCATAATTTCTCACCACAATTGGAGCAGTGCGGTTATTCACAATCACCTGTAATTCTTCGACCAACAGGCGCAGTGTGACCCCTCCATGATACTCTCATACTTCATCATCAGCATGCGCTTCTGCCTTTTTTTTTGTAAAGCAAAAGAGAGAGAGGCGGAAGCAGAGGTGATCCCAAATACTCTTTTCACATCCATATCCATCTCCCTATAATCTCGGACCATCACATGGTGCTCAAAGCATGCGCAATGAGCATACATCCTCACTGTCCTCCTCCTTGCTAGTGTTTAAGGGGCCACCTGATGCAGACATCTCGGATTCACCGTGTTTGCAGGAGGCAGAGCCACTCCACCATCTGGCCACTCTGAAGGCAAGGATCACAGGAGTCTCCCAGAGCTTGATAACATGATCAAATGGTCAAAAAGGTTTGCGCGGTGTTATCCTTCATCTGGCTGTGGGGCACAAACAAAGACGGAAGGAAGCCAAACCATGAGATCAGACACGTGGCAGCATAGGAATCCAGTGCTGAATCAATGCAGCACAGCATCAAAATCTCGCAGCTGACAATGAGGATGTTTTCAGATTGCAGGATGGGCTGGGGAAGGGGTGAGGGGAAGGAGCGAGAGAAAATCCTATCAATCCTTGCACAGGCCTGCAGAGGAAAAACGGAAAGAGAACTAGGCTGACAAGCTGAACCGGCCTATTGCAGACCCGAGCTTCCATAAAGGCTTTCATGACTGGTCCACCGGAGGTCAGTGAACACACCATGATCTTGGCATGATGTATCTGTTTGACAGTGTACTACATATGATCTGCGGGGGTTTCTGCATGAAACCTAGCAACCTTTGACGTATAGCTCACTGCTTCTACGCAATCAGAAATGCTAAGCTGCAGCACATGAATGTAGGGAGAGGAATGATATCACTGTGGCTTCTTGAGCATGCGTCTGCCATGCAGCAGTGGTGGGTTCGCAAGCAAGACACTTTATATGCGATGGTGCTTATTGCCTGCATGCTAACGTCTGACAGCAGTGTCCTGTTTGACCATTGATCAAGTCTCTGCTTCTGGTTGATCCTGTAAAGGTCACACGTGCCACATGCTGGATGTTGGCCCTTCACAACAAAGTTGGGTAACCGTGGGCATGGCCTGCTGAGTCTGCCTATGCACACATCATCAATCCCCAACTAATTTATAAGACTAGCTGACAGAACACATGAGGGTCACGGACAGATGAGAAAGCTTAACCGATTGCTTTCAGCCTTTCAAAATTCGAACCAACCTCATCATCCTACATGTTTCTTTTTTTTCTTTTTTTTTTTAATTTAACAAAACAGAACCTTATCGAGCTGGCTCCTTTTCCATTCTGAGGAGCATCAGTCCCGTTCCTATTCCACCGGCAAGTCAAAAGAGTTACATATAGTACTCACACATGCTCTTCCCCTTTACGGTAGGAAAGCCCAAGGGACGGCATTGATTACTTCCTGTCGGAAGGATGTGGCACCCCTTACCCCTGCCTAAGTTAGCCTGATCTACTTTGCTCTGCTTCTTAGTGATGAACGAACTCTCGGTATTGTGGACTATGTAGGCTTGCTTAGCAGGGCCTCGTCTAGCCTGTTCCTCTCAGTTCTTTGGCTGTCGGATTCTCCTCGAGTGCCAGAACTGCTGACTTGGCTTTCTACAGTATCGATGTGTAAATCCTAAATTCTCTCCGGTTAAGTTGCTGTTGCTCCTATAAGATGAACGACACGCCATCCAAGACACAGCAGGACCCGCCAAACGCTACCACATCTGCCATGGAGGCAACAGACCCGGACCCTTCTTAGACATCCTACTCCCTCGACCCCGGCTTCACTAACCACCCAATCCCCCAATGATTGAGACCTTCAGAAGTAGGGCTAACAGAAAGGAGGACTGGGTGGACTGGAAAACGCAAGGAAGAGTCATCAGGATCTGGAACATAAACGGACTGGGCAATATTCTAGACAAAGATGAAAAAATGAATGACATAATCAAAGGAGTGAAATCTCAACCAAACAAACCATCCGATATGATTCTGCTGCAAGAAACCCACCTCACACTATCAATTATTCCCAAATCTTCCCGCCTCTACACAGTAGGCTCCATAGTGAACATAGAAGCAGACACAGCAGAAGGGAGATGGTGGCTGATGGACTTGTGATGGAAAGAAGAAGAAGTGAGGGTAATTAACCTCTATGCACCAAACAATTCATCTATTACGATCCTGGTCGTTTCCCAAGTGCAAATTCACAATGAAAGACAATGCCACCCAATTGCGAAAGAAATGAAAGCACTTGCAAGAGATAAAGACCAGAGGAGAGGTAAAGAAGAAGAAGAAGAAGAAGTACACCAGCAAGACCAATGACAATTCCCCCTTCTCTCTCCACCTTCCTCCTTCCTCCTCCTCTTCACCAATCTTATTCTTCTCTCAACAATAATAATAACAATGAATGGATGAACCAGAATCAATGTCCGAAGTTCCCCCTTACTGCTGACTCAACTCACAACAACAACAACGACAACAACAACAACAACAACAACAAGTCCACCATGGCGCTGTCTTCCCTCCTTCAACCTCTTCTCTCAAACATAGGCCATGGCGGACTACTGGAAGGCAGCTAAGATGCTGCCCTGATGCCCGAAAGACAACTCAAAGCAGCTATGTCGCTGCTTGACTTAGTCCGCTATGCCTGACTCTGCCTCGAGCTGCCCTGGTGCAGCGTTACCCCAACTGGGGCCTTCCAGATGCAGCGCCCAACAAGGTGATGAAGACGGTGTCCACCATAGCCAGGTAAGTGCCCTACCACTCTCCTACCATGTCCCCCTTCTTCCTCCTTCAAGCTGGGGTGCTCGCCATAGCCAGGCTGAGCCCCAGCAGACCTTCACCTCCAAGCAGCGCTGCATCAGACCAGCGCTGCGCTCCAGCAGCMTGTCGCCAATCCTTGCATACCGCAAATGAGGAAGAGCCTTCCGCTCTTCCTGAAGATATAGTGGCCTACCGGCCTCCTGGGCGGTGACTTTCCAGGCCAAGCGGCCTCCCAGGCAACCGGTACCTCCTCCCTTTTGGAGGGAAACATCATTGCAGRCTCTGTTATTGTCCGCACAGGCCCTAGACCCGGGCTACTTGGACTGATACCGGCCTACCCCCAACCTACCGCTACTGGACCTCTAAAAATGCCAACTTTTTGTCTTCTTCTGCTCGGCCTACCTGCTACTTGAGTGTTTTCCCCAGCTCCTCTAAGTGTCGTGGGCCTACCTCCCGCTACCGGCGTGTTTTACCCCCCTGCAACCCTCCAGAGTCACGGCCACAGGTAAGTACCGGCCCAGTGGGCCTTGCAACCAACAAGTACCCTTGCGGGTCAAACACACACATACCCCACCGGCAAGTACTCAGACAGGCATGCACGCACACACACACACAACCAGCAAGCACTCACACAGGCATGCAACCAGCAGGCACGCACACACACAGACTTGGAACCACAGCAGAATGCGGGAATCACAACATGGCATCCATTCCAGTGACAAATCCCAGAAATCGACAGTGTTCTCAGTCTGTGTTTTTGGAGGGTCATTACATTACTCCCCTCTCGAAAGCGAGGTCCCTTCAAGCGAGTAACTCAGTCAGAGTCGGTACAAAAGGCGTCGTAGGCATAGATCAAAAGGAGAGTGTTAGTGAGACCGAACGGAGTGAGTTTTGCAGCAAACTTTGCGGTCTGTCCATCAACAATCTGTCGTTCATATGCGTTCACAACACGTGGCGCACTCTTCAGCAGCTCTTTCCGGTCGATCCAGAAAAATTCATTCAACGGGTGATAGAGGAAGTGAACTTTATATTGTCTGTTCCTCCCTCTCCCTTCGTGAGAAACGATTTCTGTCGATCTCATGGCCACCATTGATAGAGCGAGGTATCATAGGGTCTTGGAAGGGAAAAGTCTCATCATCAATGTGCGGAAACAGTTTGGAGGCATGGAAGACTGGGTACGTGTGCAGATGAGGCGGCACGTCAATCACATACGAAGGACCGAAATCATCCCCAATCACTTTCAGAATCTGCCAAGGGTCGTAGTATAGTGGAAGAAGCTTCCGTGAAACACCCTCTTCATCAGAAAATTCAGACATTTTGACCCAGACATAATCTCCTACTTTAAATTTCTCTTCTCTGCGCATTTTATTAGCATGTTTGATCATGGCATGCTGGCGCTTGTTCATGGCTGCGGTCACAACTTTGAGCAAGCGTGCGTACTTGGCATTGTAGCCAGGCATGCCGGGCATCAGACCAGGTGACCGTTCTGGGAACAGGAAGGAGAGGGGATTGAGCATTGGCCATCCATACTGCAACTGGTTTGGTGTCACACCGGTTGCAGAATGGATGGAGTTGTTGTACAACCCCTTTACTTCATGCAAGTCCTTATCCCATGTGTTCTTATATGGCACAATCAATGCGCGCAGCAGCTGGGTGACGGTCTGGTTGATTTCCTCAGCCAATCCATTGGCTTCGGGGTGTCGACCAGAAGTCATGTTCAGTTTGATGTCATAGATCTGGGCAGTGAAGTCCTTCCAATCCTTGCTGATGAATCTGGTGTCCCGATCACTCACAAGAGTTTTTGGGGGCCCATATTGCAGAATGTACTGATGGTGAAACTCTTCGATCACCAGTTCAGTCGGTGCATGAGGAGGTAGAGGAATCAAATTCAAAAATTTAGAGAAGCGATCCACAATGACCATGACTTGTGAATTCCCTGTCGTACTCACCTTCCCCATAACCGTGAAATCGATAGAGACCGATTCCCCGGTGCCATCAGGGATTGGGAGAGGTCTCAGCAGGCCATAAGGCTTATGCCTGTGGACCTTGGTTCTCTGACAGACTTGACACTCAACAATAAATTTCTGAGCAGATCCCTTCATTCCCGGCCAATCAAACTACTGGAGAAGACTTCCATAAGTCTTCTCAAAGCCGAAATGCCCACTCCGACCATGTGCCAAATCCAGGAAATGAGTCCGGAGAGGTGCATGGTTAGGAACACATAAGCGATCAAATTTCCCGTACCGGCGGAATACAAGACCATCGCATTCATGAAAATCAGGCTGGCTGTTGGGGTCAGCCTTGAGTTGCTCAAGGATGGGACTAAGGTCCGGATCCTTGGCGGTGTGTTCGATCAGATCCTCCTTCAGTTTCCTGCGGAGGTCGTACGAATCCACCAGGCAAGTCAAATACTCAGGATGGCGTGATAGAGCATCAGCAACACGATTATAGCAGCCTTTCTTATGCTTCAATTCAAAGTCGAAGACATCACTATCATGCAACCAGCGGGTCAGCGTTGGAGAAAGATCGGTTTGTGTCTTAATCCACTGCAAGGTCTGATGATCTGAGTAGACCTTGAAGTGGCRACCCAAGAGATAGTGCTTCCAATGCGTGAGCGCCTCGCGCAAGGCGTAGAGCTCCCGCATGTATGTGGAAGTGGCTACCTTGTGGTTGGGCATGCGTTTGCTGTAATATTCAAGCGGACGCAGACCATCGCCATCGTCTTGTTGCACCACTGCACCAATCCCAAACTGGCTCGCGTCCGTAGTGACTACGAACGTGAGGTTGGGATCGGCAATGCGGAGCACAGGATGACTCACCAAAGCCTCTTTCAAGGCCTGGAACGCAGTCTCACACTTTTCACACCACGCGTAGGCAACATTTTTACTAGTCAGGCGTGAGAGTGGATGCGCAATGACAGAGAATTTAGGCACAAACTTCCAGTAGTAAGAAGCCAAACCGAGAAAAGAATGCAACTCGCGTACATTTGCCAGTTGAGGCCAGTTGCGGATGACCTCAACCTTGGTTGCCTCCGGCTCAAGGCCGCTCACAGACAACCGGTTCCCAAGATAGATGATGCTGTCCCTCCCAAACTCAGATTTCTCCAAGTTGAGGTGCAGTTGAGCATCTTTGAGGACTTGCAAGACCTCCTCAAGATGCTTGACGTGCTCCTCCATGGACTTGCTGAAAATCATAATGTCATCAAGATACACAACCACAAACCTGTTAAGTTGGTGGCGGAGTACCTTGTCCATGAGGGATTGAAATGTGGCTGGTGCGTTCGTAAGACCGAAGGGCATAACGATAAATTCGTACAGCCCATCGCGTGTCTTGAACGCGGTTTTGTGTTGGTCACTCGGATCGACTTCAATCTGGTGGTAGCCAGACTTGAGGTCAATCTTGGAGAAGACCTTGCAACCACCGGCCTCATCTAACAAATTATCTATACGAGGCAAAGGGTAGGCATTCTTCCTTGTGATTCGATTCAAGCCACGATAATCAATGCACATCTGGAGTTTGTCTCCTTTCTTTGGCACGAATAAGACAGGTGCACCGAATTCAGACTCGCTAGGCCTAATCCATCCACGGTCAATCATATCATCAATCTGTCGTCTCAACTCCTCCAACTCGCCTTGTCCCATACGGTAGACGCAGCCCTTTGGAGGAACACTCCCCTCTATTATCTTGATTTTGTGTTTGACCGGACGCTAAGGAACTCCGCGAGGTTCGGCCAAAACTTCAGGGAATCGATCTAATAGTTGGCGAATGTTTGTTGGGACTTCCGGTGGAGGATCATCCTCATCAGGAGAAAAAAAATTAGACTGAGAATTTACAACAATTACAACCGGACTAGAAATAGAAGGATCATTCACAGTAGAAGTAGATGGATTAGAGGTAGAGTTACTTACTGAGGTAGAAAATGCAGCAAAAGTAGAAGGCACATGGAGAGGCTTTACAAGAGCTACATGTACAAACTCAGCTTCCTTGCGCCTGCGCACTGACCTGCAGAATTTGTTAGCACTGAGAAGAGTCACAGGGGACTCGCGCGTCTCATCTAACAAGACGGTACGCTCGTTCCCCTTGGCGTCAAGTACCACGAACTGGTTGTCTGCCCACGTGGTCCTTAGGCAATGAGCCTTTAGCCAGCCCATGCCAATGACCGCGTCGAAAGGACACTTGTCCAGGACATAAAAATTCAGCTCATGTGTGACAGTGCGATCTTTGTCAAAGGTGATGCGCACACCTTTGACAACATGAGTGGAAGTGACAACCTCTTGGTTGCCCACCTGAGTCCGGCAAGGGTTCTGCAGTTCCACTTGCTTCATACCCAGACCCGCCTCACGAATCCCGGTCGGAGAGAAGAAATTAGTGGTAGAACCACTGTCAATCAGCACACGGATGTATCGGCGGTTAATGAGTAGTTTAAAGAAAATCAGCTCCACGCTCCCTTGAACACGGCGTTGCTGCTTGAGATGCAGCCAATGCTTCATGTGGGCGTGGAGGTCGACCTCTTTAGACCCCTCCCAAGGCTCAGTATACAATACTTGGACTGCATCAGCCTTGGATTCAGCATTAGTTTGGGCTTCAAGAGCACGCTGCTGATCAGATCCAGGCTCCTCGGAAGGGCCTGCAACTGACTGCCCAGCTTCCCTTGCTGTAGAGAGTGCTGATGACTCCTCTACGCCCCTTGCCTGTTTCCTTGAAGACGATAGCAATCCTGCACAGCATGCCCAGGCTTTGAACAATGCAAGCATACGCGCAGTTTGGACCTTCTTTCCCATTCTTTTTGGCTGATGCGGAGGGCTTCCCAAGGCTTGGTAGAAGCGTCCTCCGGTTTCTCAGGGATCTTAGCATTTTTGGGAAGGTGTAAGACAGTTCCCTTACCTAAACCACGGTTAGGCCCCTTATTTGAAGCAGTCTTTTTGAATGCATTAAGTTTTTCATCGTCGTTTCGGTCACACTCAATGGCTGATGCAGAACAGCCCGCATCGGAGTCCGTCTCTAGATCGTCATCCAGAGACAGATCATCCGCATAGGACTGATCCTCAGCCTCCCGATGTTCATGCAGTGCAAGCTAGTTGCTGCTTCCCAACCGCTTGCGTTGTGGTTTCCCACCTGCAGCGGGCGCCTTCTTGCGCCTGGCGAAGTCCTTGGCCTCTAGGTTGACTAGATCCTTCATGAGCTCTCGCCAGGTAGCATGGTCTTTGAGTGCTAGCAGGGAGAGGTATTCTTTAGGGGCCACTCCCATGACTACATCCATGCAAGACACGTCAGTCATCCCCAGATCCGGAGTGGTGAATAGACATGTCAAGTGTTGTTCTAAAGCTTGCATGGATGACCTCCATGTTTGGCCTTTGAGGGCCTCACGCTTCAGCCTAGCCTTGAGCACAGCGTGTTTATCCTGATACCGGTCAAGGAGAAGGTCTTCAAGAGCGCGGACAGGGGTAACCTTCAGCCATTCAGTCAGGTCTATGCGCTCATAGCCTGCAGCAACATCTTGGAGCTCAATGTGGTTACGTACGGCGGGTTCGGTATTAGTCCCCATGATCATACTCTGGTCCTCTTGCGGTGTCCGCATGACCTCGAAGTATGACCTCATGGAACTAATCCAAGAGGTGATGTCAGGCTTCCCGTCGTACTTGGACGGCAGTGTGGCCGGCCGCTTGTCCACCATGGGACCGCTGTACTGAACGCCAGTAAGAACTGCGGCGTTTTGGGCTGAAGTCCCTGCATTTGGGACTGTGACCAGTGCAGAACTGTCGGTGCTGCCGCTCGAGGAGCTGGCACCGGTTCCTACACTTGCCACAATTCCGCTAGCCCTTGGAACGAGGGTTGTGATGGACTGAGAGACTGGGATTACAGCAGATCGAGAGTTAGGAGGGCGGGGGGCAGACAATTGGGACTGTTCAAGGCTATTTACTTTAGCCTGCAGCYCTTGGTTCCGCTGCTCAAGTGCTGTCACACGGGACTCGAGATCTTCCAAGTTCCGCATCCGTACCAAGGCTGCGACGGCAGCAGCTAGCCTCTCCTGGAACCGGTCCGCATTGGCTTCCGGAACCTGTAGGAGGGCCTCCTGCGCATCTATACTCGTAGCTCTAGTTGCTGCCTCCGCCTCCCTTTCCCTTTGTACGACATCATCATACAGTTTTTGAAAGAACGGTGTTGGGACTGGTGGGTCCCGAATAACTTCCCATCACTCGAGAGATTGGATACGGACAATTTGTGCACAACAGAGAAATCTGGAGTGAGGAAGCAGGAGAGAGAAAAGACAAAGGATTAGGTCAAAGAAGGGAGTGATGCCCTGGGGAGAGAACCACAAGAGGAAAGAACTAGCAGCAGCAAGCAAGCGAGCGCAAGAACAGGGGCACATAGAACATAGCAGGAGGCCGGGAGGGTCATCGGAATGCAATAAGACTAAGGCCGAAGGGCCCTTTGAACTAAGAATTGCAGCGCGACAGCAATAAGGGAATGAGGAAGTCGAGGAATGGGCGGCTAGAAGCCGCGGGAAGCCAGGAAATGAGGGTCCAACATGGGGGCCACCTATGGAAGCCTCAGAGCGGAGGCCCGCGACCAAAGAGATCGCCACGCACAAGGCGCGAGGAAAGACGAGGGGTCGCTATGGGGCGACAAGACGCCCAAGGGGCATGGGACACCTCGGGGAAAGGCACCCGGGGCCACGTGGGACTAAGTAAAAATAATGGCGTCCGGGGCGAAATGTGTCGGGAACCGCCAACGGGACTAAGTGTTGGGGACCGTCGACGGGACTAAGTGTCGGGGACCGCCGACAGGACTAAGTGTCGGGGACCACCGACGGGACTAAAGTGTCGGGGACCACCAACGGGACAAGTAGCGGGGACATGTGAACGTCCCAAGAAGAAACGGCGGCACCGCATGAGGGGAAAATAATAAATGCAAGGTGCACCGTCAAGATCGACATCTTGACGGCCAAGAATATTAGCACCACTAGTAGGTGGTATAGTGGTACACCCATGGTTGATCCATGATGCGATCATGGTGACATGGGCTCTCCAAACTTGTAATTCTCACTCATACACTAGGTAGTAGTGCACCGTTACTCCCATGGATGACCTTTGATTCAACCTTGATGATCATGCCTACTTAGACTCTTGTTCTCACTCACGTAATAGCATATGATGTTCCTTATGATCTACCCTCCATGTGCATATGCTTCCACTAGTCTATTGTTACCACGTCAAGTTCATTGCTTAGTTGATCTCTTCTCTTTGTGCATTGTCAAGTCCATTGCTTAGTTGATCTCTTCTCCTTGTGCATTGTCAAGTTCATGTTCTGGATCTTTGCCTAGTTGATTTCTTCTCTTCGTGCATTGTCAAGTTCATGTTCCGAATCTTTGCTTAGTTGCTCTCTTCTCTTTGTGCATTGTCAAGTTCATTACTTAGTTGCTCTCTTCTCTTTGTGCATTGTCAAGTTCTTTGCTTAGT